GTTGCGAAAGTGGTGTGCAGGAGCCTCCTGCCTAGAGCACCGCCCAGCTAGCGATCGCAGGAGGCGGGTTTTCCGTTGCTTTGCGCCCTTTTCGGGCGTGTGCGGTTTTTTTCGCGCTTACCGGCAACTGCTCCTGTCTCCTTTTGCAAGGCACCGCCAGCATTTTTCCTCCCACCAGAATGAGAGTACCCATTTATCTACTCACGTGAGTTTTTGAACTGTTGGGTTGACAGGAGCTGGGGAGGAAACAGGAGCTCACCCTGTTAACGCAAAGGCTGGACTCGAACCGCTGAAGCGTCGACCATTTCTGGCCGGCAACTTTCAGCGTCATTAAACCGCTGCGCCACCGCGTCCCCTATGGAGAAAGATACGGGCATACAAATGGAACTGATGGATGACTTACTCCCAAAAGGAGATGTACAAATATTGACTCAAGAAGCCAACGTGTGTGTGTGTGTGTGTGTGTGTGTGTGTGTGTATTTATTTATTTATTTATTTATTTGCTGGATATACGAAAGACCTCTGTTAAGGTTTTGAAGGACTTTGTTAGAAATGACAAACAAAAGAACACATTTTATTTATTGGATATACAAAAGAAAGTTCAGAAAGATTTTTGGCTTGAAACACTGATGAACAGAAAACAAGCTCTAGAACTCATTTTGAAGGAGTTAAAAGATACTTTTTAAAACTCAGGGAAGGAATACAAGGTTGGATTATTTGACCAGAGCTAAAGCAGAAAAATAGTTACATCTGGTTGCCCTTAGTGGGCTTTTGCTGATGAAGAACCACCGATGAAGCATTTGGACTCTTTTTTTATTCAGTAGATGAGATATGGGGTGAAGTGAAATCATGTTGTATTTAGAGATAGTGATAAGTTACTAAGATTGTTTTTACTTGCTGGGAGGAAGGGGAAAGTTGCTTCTTTCTTCTTTTCTTTTTTCTATTTTTTTTTCTTTTTCTTTACTTCCACACCTTTTCTTTTCCTTTGTATTTTTATGCTTGTATTTTTTTGTAGCCTTTTATTGGGTTTTATTCTTTTTACCTATAATTCTAATAAAAATTATTTGAAAAAAAAAGAAAGTACAACATTAAGAAAGGAAAGATGCTTTATATTATAATATCACAATAAAATACATATAAAGATATAAATCTATTTAAGTCCTCAGCTACAGAAATATACATTTTATTTGTTGATGCCAAAGAAACTGAATTAAATAGTAACATTTGGTCAAATATAAAACAGCAGAAAAGAAGAAAAATACTTGGGGAATACATGTTCTATTCAAATTAATGTCACATTGTTTCAAACAAATATTTATAAAGGTTTAGTAGGTGTTGATCACAGCTTTTCAAGTTTCTATTACATGAGGGTTAAAAACTTGCTTTTTTGTAACTTAATTTTATTACACAGTTTTAGGATTCTATCTGCATAGAATGTGTGATATTGTTGATATGATTAATTATATCTAATGGTGTATTTGAGGATTATAGTACTAAAGTGTTTTTAGATACATGCATGCATATGTACATGCATTTGTTACATATATTTATATATATACATATATTTATATACATACACACACACACACACACACACATACACATACACACACACATACATACATACATACATACATACATGCATTTGTCCTAGAATTATACTGATGGCATAATTCCAGCATCATTGTGTTCAAGGATAACTATATTATACTTGTCAATGTTTTAACACAATTAAGAAGAGATTTGGATAAGCATGTCAGCTGTTTGAAATAAACCAGGTCAGGAAACAGGTACCACATGAACTACTAGAACTCTACATGTTATAGGGTATAATAACAGAACCTTGTGGAGGAAGAAACTTCAATAACCTGTATTATGCTGATGACACTACTCTGATAGTTGAAAATGCAAAGGATCTGAAAGCTCTAATAATACAAGTTAAGCAGCAAAGTGAAAAATGGGACTAAAATTAAATATAAAGAAGACCAAACTAATGACAACAGATAGAATTGGCAATGAAGATATCAAAGTAGTGGATAGCTTCTGCCTTTTAGGATCAACCATCAATAGTAAAGCAACAAGCAGTCAAGAAATACACAGTAGACTAGGACTTAACAGGGCAGTCATGGCAGCCTTGGAAAAGGTATTCAGATGCCGTGATGTGTATATACCTACAAAGATCAGAATCATGCAAGCCATGGCATTCCCTGTGACACTCTGTAGAAGCGAAAGTTGGACTTTAAAGAAGCAGGAAAGGGAGAGTATTAATGCTTTTGAACCTTGGTATTAGAGAAGACTCCTGAAAATACCATGGACAGCTAAGACAACATACAAATGGATCATCAAACAAATCAACCCAGAGTTCTCACTTGAGACACATATGTCCAGTCTCAAATTATCTTACTTCGGACACATTATGCAAAGACCTAGCTCTCTGGAGGACGGTCTAATACTGGGAAAGATGGAAAGAAAGAGAAGAAGAGGAGGACCAGCAGCAAAGTGGATGGACTTAGTTACAGTGGTGATGAGTGTACTATTGGAAGATCTGAAAGACCAGGTTAGGGATAGATTGTCATGGAGAAATTCTATCCATGTGGTTGCTAGGAGTTGAAATGACTTGATGGCACATAAGTAATCAATCAAAAGAATCTTGTAAGCCTGTCAGAGATCCTCCCCTCTTGAGTCTTTTCTTCATCCCTTCCTGTCCAAACTGATGCTTACATAATAGTTCCTGAATTTTTCCTCAAGGTCATTTCTGTACTCCTCTACAATATATAATTTTCAGTGAAAAGCTATAAGTGGGAAAAAGGCCCATAAAAAGTTGGGGATTTGCTACAGGGAAAGGGGAACAACCTTTCTAGAGTTCAACATTAAAAAAATTATAAAGGCACACAAGTACCCACATTGAGCTCAGCCTCAAAAAACATGAATAAAATCTGAGAAACTGACAAATATTATTTTAACATAAATAAATAGGAAGGAAGAGTAGGCTTCTGTCATTTTTTATAAATAACAATGCAGATTGATAGGTTCCTTCAATATTTTGTAAATTACTAAAAAACAAACAAACCCTAGGAATGAAAAACATGTAAATAACAATGACATATTTACCATGAAAAAATATATTCAAAAAGTCCCTTAGGGACTTGACACATATATGGACAGATCACAGCAGAGCTGAAAGAACTGCCAGAAGAACAAACAGGTTTCCAACACTTGAATCACAGTTGAATAATCTTGTCTTCTTAGTCTCTAATTTAATTTCACACCTTCTTAGAACATTGGCAGAAGTCAATTAACTGATTTGCTTTGTTTGCAATTCATAGATTTGCAAATTGACAATTTGCAAGCTGTTATTTTGATACTGAAGTCAACTGAGTTCTTGTGCAGTCTCTACAGCATGTAATGCACATGGGTCAAATTTTGGACTCAGTAAGGAATTTCAAGTGATAAAATTAGTAATTCACAAACTGTAGAGTAGTAGAGAACTAAGGATATATCTCTTGCTAACCTACACTTGAGATTGCTCTCAGTATGAATTCACCCTACTGTACATCAGATGTTTGCATTAAATATGAGTGGAAAGATGGGTAAAGAGGAGTGAGCAAAGTAACTATTTATTGCAGTGGCTGCACCCTTTGCATTAAAGTATCCTCTGAGTTGATATTCCACATCTCTAACACTCACATGTCCTCCCTCACTCAGGCTCAACCCCACTCCTCCAAAGGTCACTCTTGTCACTACAGATTGATGGGCCTGGCTGGAAAGGCACAGCTAATTCTTGGTAAATGAACCTGCACTGCATTTCCTTGCTATGAATTCTACTGTTAGATGCTACAACCCCATGCAAAATGCAGCCATCTGCTAGGCTCAGAACACAGCGTGTGCACCTTGCATGCTGAAATGGATCCATCTAAGAAGCTGACAAGCTCATGCTGAGAGCCATCAGGCAATGAATGGAGCACACAGTGTGGGAGCCCAACATACTGTCAAGGTTATCAGAGTTGAGGCCTTCTTTTGGCAGCACAAGATATTTCTCTTCCATCCTCACATCTGCTTCTACGGGCCTGTTTGCTTAGAAACATCAGCAAAACTCCTTGGAACATTCTTAAAGAAAGGAAAACTTACTTATCTCATTATATTATATTGTTATATCTCATTATCAAATATATTTTCCCCTCCCACATGCTATTTCAAGGGCTCTGGATGTTTTACAATATGCACATACCAATATCCACCCAAGATAATTCTGATTTACCACTGAAAGCTATTCAGTGTGGTGACTGGATCAACAAAACTGCAAATGTAGATCTGGGGGGAGGGCAATCCTTTTGGGCTGATGAACACATTTGGGATTCTGAGATCATGGTTTAAGCACTCTTCAAAAAGACTCCTGGGGACAAAGACTTGCCCATTCACAAAATGGCTACTATATGGCTGTTACAAAGCACTGACTTAACAGAACACTATCAGCCAGCCCCTCTAGCTCCATTTCCCACTAGATGTGCCCTTCTACTCCTTGTTTATCACTATCCCCTTTCTGCTCAGGTGGACTTTATTCCAAACAAAACACTGACCTGCCACTCATCAAGTTTATGGAGTCTCTTTGACTTTAAGAAGAATGGGAGTTGTATACATCTCACATGGAAGAGGAACTTATTGGTCACGCTGCCATAAGGGTGTTTGGAGAATTCTCATGACTGACAAATCGACTGTAGAGTGATTTGTGTCAGTCCTGAATATATTCTTCTTGCGTGCTAGATTTCAGCATTTGGAATTTAGCAAGACATCAAGAAATGAGCACCAGTAAGGAGTTGGTCTGGCACCAAGGAAATGCAGGTTCAAAATGATCCTCAGCAATGAAAGCTCACTGAGTGACCTTGGGCCAGTCCCTGTGTTTCATCCCAAGCTACCTCAGAGTGTTGTTGCTGTGTGGATAAAAGAGAGGATGAAGCACTATGTATTCCTCCTTGAGCTCCAGGAGGAAAGGCAAAATATAAATCTAACAAAGAATCAAAGAATGAACAGAGAACCCTTCAGAGGTTTAAAGTTGTTTAATGCATTGTGGGAAGCCAGCCAGTATATCATGCTAACCCAGAAAATTGAGTAAACCTTTATTAAGTTAACCATGAGTAAGAATGTTCTATGAACACAGACTTGCAGCCTGAACAAATAAAAGCAGAAGAGAGCAAAAGTGCAGGATAGCACAACTTTGAGGCAGACCAGATGCCTAAAGGCACAGCTTTCCCAGGATGACATGGTGGCCAAATCCCCTGCATGAACATATGGTGGTAAAATTGCTTTTCTCTGCAACCTTTTGCTTGCACTCATATAAATGTGTCTGATCAGATTTGGGATTTCTTACATAGACTAATCACATTGCAAAAGGGCAGTAAATGGATTAGGTAAAAGATTTCTAAAGCAAGATCGGCACAGACTCGAAGTTGCTGCTAAGCGGTGCATAAAGTCCAGGATGCATGATGTCCATAAGAATTGCACAGTCTGACTTTACAACATGTTATTTATTCAAGGCACAAAGGGCTGCAAAGAGATTGCCTCATGAGGGCAATAATTTTGACACAGCCTCAACTTCCTGATTTACAAGTTTTTTTACCTGTTTTTTGTTCCTGATATTGGCAGAAGGAAAGAAATCTGGGGGAACAGACAAGCCCTGTCTCGAAGATAAGCTGAATGTATCAAAGCAGGGGTGCTTAACAACCCTCTGAACCTTGGAGCAAATTCCATTTGCCTGGTGGTTACAGACCTGCTGTTTCTCAAAATAGAGAGATGGCTGGAAATCAATAGCTCACGCCTTTGTGTTTTGGATAGTGGTCACAGGTAGCAAAGGTACTGCTGATTTGCCTGTGTATGATGTGAAGGCAAACGGTTGAAAAGACAGCAAAATGCGCCAGCTCTGATGCACAGGCATTCCTTCAGGGTAAGCTACAGCCTGTGGGGTGAAAAGACAAAGAAGGATCAGACAGCTGAGAAGAAGCAAATGGGGCTTGGTTCAGGGCACTTGCTCAATGTTTAGACTATGCACATCACAGGTTAAGTATAGCACAGTGACTCCCTCTCCCTTATCACAGCATAACTAGGTGTCAAGATCAAGCTACCACCCACAGACTGTGCTTGTGTTGGGGAGGGACACAGCCTGTCTTCTCACAGTGTGGGCACACATGCTCAACAGCAGTTACATACGTTGACAGCTTACTGCATTGAGAAGCAGCCTGACAGTGTCCAGGGACAGCCTGCGCTTGAAAAGATCACCCTGGCCTTGTCATCAACAATGAGGGAGAAAGGCTGAGAGGCTTTTATGCCTCTTCCCACCATTGCTATACATCTGTCTTGTACTCAGCAACCCATGGGATGACATGGTCTCTAACGGCTTGTGTGTTTATGACCTTGACTGGCTTTAAGCATTTGTGCTAGAAACATACAGAGGGGCATCCATTTACTGACTAGATATAGATATAGTTATAGATATGCATGTGTGCAAGCACCAGTGTGTTGTAATAATTAGTGTTGGTCTAAGCCCAAGAAGACCCAGTTCAAGCCTGCCCGCAGCCATGGAAACCAGGTGACTCTGAGCTCTCTCTCAATCCAAACTATAAAATAAAAGGAGATTACTGTGTAAACTGCCTTGCACTCCTGGAGGAAAGGCAGAATATGAAGCTAACTAATAATGGTTTATTGTAGCAATAACACAACAGAATTTGGTGACAATTCGTACTGTGAATTGGATTTTCCTTCAGAAATACAGAAGGGTGGAGGTGCTGCTGTCTACTCTTGGAAATTCTTGACACGTATTTATATCATCCCTACAAAGCCTGGAGATGGTTGGGAAAGAAGAACCGAGAAAGTGTGAAATGGCCACAATAAAAAATTGTCAATTAGAAGGGTGGAGGCATAATTGTTGTGGGTTTTGTAGGTGATTACTGGTTCTAATTATATTCATCCTAAAGTTTTATTCATCCTAGAGTTCAACTGTGATTCAGTTTTCATTGTTCATTACATAAATACTTGTTTGCGTTGAGTACTTGTCAATGAAACCCACCCTAAAAAACAGATGAACACTTACCTGTTACTTAACACCTACATGGAACTATTAGCTGAGCAAGATTATGATAAATAAGCAATAATCCAAACCAGAATTGTTAACTACCTATTGTCATTCATCATAGTACCTAAAATACTTGGGGCACAAAATGTATTTCAGTCTCCTGAAATTTGCCCTGAGCCTTCATGATAGAGTGGGATCAGCATCATAAATAAAATGGCAGATTCTACAGCAAAATATGAGTATTTTAGTGCAACAAGATTTCTACGCTACTTCTTCATGTGCTCCAGCTTTTCTTCTGTCCTGAAATATACTACCAGTGAGCCAAGAGCAAAGCCGGTAATGGAATGTCTCCCTTCTGCCAACTCTGGGGCCCCTCAGTGCTTTGTCAGCTGGTTTTAATTGTTCATCCCCAGGCCTTGTTTATGAGCCAATAAAATCTACTGTGGGGCTGGTTCCCTCTGCTTGCTCTGTAGATTCTTTGGGGGTTCAGCAGCATTCAGAATGCCAGGAGCTCTTCAGCCTCATTATTATTATTATTATGGTTGGTCGCACAGTCAGCCAGATGTTTAGACTGGATTTGGCA